CACACTGTTTTTAATACAGGCCAAGATGCCATTGGCTTTTCTGGCCACATGGGCACAGTGCTGGCTCATGTTAAGCTGGCTGTCAACCAACACCCCCAAGTCGTAGAAGGCAAAGGCAGGGACTGAGAGAAAGATGAACTGCCTGCTCTAGGAGATCAGGTTTGAGACTGTCTAAGGAACCTGAAGATGTGCAAGTTCATGGGACCTGATGAGATACATCCATGAGTCCCGAGGGAACTGGCAGATGAAGTTGCTTAACCACTATCCATCCTATTTGAGGAGTCGTGGCAGTCTGGTCAAATTCCTACTGGCTGAAAAAGGGTAAACATAATCCCCATTGTTAAAGAGAGAAAAATGGAAGGCCCAGGAAACTACAGACTGGTCTCACCTCTGTGTCTGGCAAGATCACGGAGCAGATCCTCCTGAATACTCTGTTAAGGCACATGGAAAATAACGATGTGATTGGTGACGGCCATTATGGCTTCACTAAGGGCAAATCTTGCCTGACAAGTTTGGTGGCCGCCTGTGGCGGGGTTACAGCGTTAGTGGATAAGACAGGAGCAACTGATGTTATATACCTACACTTAAGCAAAGCATTTGACGCTGTCCCACGTGACATCCTTGTCTCTGAATTGGAGAGACATGGATTTGACAGAGAGACCACTTGGTGGATAAGGAATTGGCTGGATGGTTGTATTCAAAGAGCCGTGGTTAACAGCTCAATGTCTGAGTCAAGAGAGCTTTTTGGGGGGGGCGTGGGATGGGATGTAACATTTTGTTACTATTCCTTTGCAAATGCTGTGAGCTATGAATTTTGAAACAGTGAAAATGAAATCCTGGAATCCTGTTGTTAAAAGGAGGCAGTTATGTTAAAAGTAAAGAAATCATAATATTTAATCAACATGACCTCTGGAGGCCATCTGGTCCACCCTCCCCACTCCAAGCAGGGTCGCCTAGACCAGGTCGCCCAGGACTATGTCCAGACAGCTTTTGCATATCTCCATGTACAAGATCTCCCCTGAGCCTTCTTTTCTCCAGAATGAACAGTCCCAGTACTCTCAGCCTTTCCCTGTAGGAGAGATGCTCCAGTCCCTTAATTATCTTTTTACCTTTTGTTGGACTCTCCCCAGTATGTCCATGTCTCTTTTGTACTGGGGAGCCCAGAACTGGACGTGGTACTCCAGATGTGGCCTCACCAGTGCTGAATAAAGGGGAAGGATTGCCCTTCTTGATCTGCTGGCAACGATCTAATGCAGCTCAGGATACCATCCACCTTCTTTGCGGTATGGCACACTGCTGTCTCATGTTCAACCTGGTGTTCACCAGGACACCCAGATCCTTTTCTGCCAAGCTGCTTTCCAGCTGGGTGGCTTCCAGCATATGCTGGTGCCTGAGGTTGTTCCTGTGCAGGACTTTGCATGTCCCCTTGTTGAACTTCATTGGGTTCCTGCAAGCCCATTTCTCCAGCCTGTCAAGTTCCCTCTGGATGACAGCATATTCTCTTGGCATATCATCCACTTCTAGTTTTGTGTCATCAGTGAACTGGCGAGGGTATGCTCTGCTCCATCATCAAGATCATCAATGAAGATGTTAAACGGGACTAGAGCCAGTATTGACCCTGGAGTTCACCACTTGTTACTGGTCTGCAACTCAAGGCTCACAGATGAGCAGTTTACGTATTATATTGAAACTTCCACAAGAAGTTTTGTAGGGATTTTGTATTATTGACAGTTGTGTTCCTGACAAGATGCACATATCTCTTCAGGAGTTTTTTCCATCGCGTTAGTCTGTTAAACATTTAAAATAGTAGAGACCTATAGCTAATTGTCTTACAGGGACTGATTGACGCAGTTTGGTATAGTCTGTGGAAGGAGATGCATAGGTTTGGACAGTGTGGACAGATATTTGAAGAGGAAGATCCCATTTAGTAGGTCAGAGGCTCATCAAGGTGAAGTTGTACTTGGCATATTGTATTATGATACAGAATTGACACATGTAATGATTTTATTTTTGTTTTGAGCAGAATAAGTTAGCCAAAAGAGAATATGGTATTTAAAACCAGTGGAAATAACTTTAAAATCTACGTAGAAAATAAATCATTTAGAGGTAAAATTAAACTTTGGACATTTTAGTTAGCAAAATAATTGTTTTCATGAGACATTACTTTACTTTCTGTAATACATTCTTTATTTTGCCAAGTCCAGTTTGTGAGTACAGTAAGGACAGCTAGTGATTTTTTAGTAGTATGTGCAGTTAGTCTAATGGGTACATTTCAGTTTCTTTTAATATTTTTCATGTCACGGTCTTAGAATAATCAATTAAAACAAGAAAATTGACCAATCTTCATCAACAAACAATACGAGATAGCCTGTTAAGTAGGAATTAAATCTTTCTCATGCTTCAGATCTGTTGGAGTCATACTTTCTCCTGTCTTTAACCAAATTGTAATAAATATTTTTTGTTTTCATATTGAAATCAGTTTTACCGATGATTAACATGAGCAAGGTTAGTCACGTGCTGTTAGGAAAAGTAAGCATATTTTTGCTTAGACTTAAGGACCAATCGCTTGTGTTTATTCCTTTCTTCAGTACTTGGCTTTATAAAATGAAGGAAGAAGAGATACTGAATGTTGTGGATGATATTTCATTTTTGTCACCTTTGTGGGCCTTTCAGTGATCTTAACTTGAGAAAGATTACACAATGAATGTGACTTAGGTCTTATTCTTCAAACTGTACTAGCAAAAAGGGTAGATGCAAATAATGGACTGTTTTTGAAAAAAACTACTTACTTAATACTACTACTTACTTAATAATCTTACTTATGTAGGCTTATTCTGGGCATTTCTTATGTGCCCTTTGTAGTTTCAGCATACTACTCACTTTACCTATCAGTCTTCATAACTTGTTCTGATTTTCTTAACTAATGAGCATTAGTATCTTTGTTAGAACACACTGCTTCTACTTCATCCTGAGCACATACAGGTTTGCCAATTTGGGACCAGAGTCAGATTTCCTCTTCTGAGTTACAGAGGCTGATCTGGCTGGTGTCTGTTGTGGAAAACTTATTTGTCATAAAGCATAACAAAACCTTTGTCAAGGACATCTTGCTTCCTTTTTTTTTTTCCTGTGTTAGTAAATCCTTAAATAGCTGAAGTTGCTCGAGAGTGACCATCTGTTCTCTTTCCAGTAGAACGATTCATCCTTGTGTTTCCCCCTGAGTCGTCAGTCCTTGGCTAACTCTGACTTCAAACTATGCACTTTTTTCTTGGTTTTACCTCCAGTTATTCATATTGATCTTAGCTAACACTGGATATATATTTTAAAATAAATTGCTTTAGTTTAGTTCTGTCACGACTGTAAAATCTGTATTAACTTCATTATGACTTCAGTTATGTATTTTGTCCTACCAGATTGTGTTACTTAATACAAGGTAATTTTTCTTGTTGACATATATATTTATTTGAATTTGACCTTTTTTTACATAACCTCATCTCTGCTATTTTTAATGCATTTTCAGTTGTCTTTTCCACCCCCTCTCATTTGTTTAGAGTTAGAGAGACAAAACTTCTGCAAAGTCTATTAAAGATGCTGTGTAAGTGATGAACAACTTTGTCTCTTGACATTCTTATTTGTACCTAAGCATTTGTATTTAAAATGCTATAAGAAACTTCTTTTCAGTGGTGTATCCTGGGAATCAAAATCTGGCAAGTCATCCTCCCAGAACAGTGTTCCACTTTCCCTCAAATTGGGTTGTTGTTTTGGCTTGGTCTTCGGGTTTTTACTTTCAAGTAAACTTTTACTTTCAATTTGATTAGGAATATCTGCAAAAATAGTTATTACATGAGAAAATGTTGATTTATCACTAAAAATAATCATTAAAAAGATTGATGTAACTTTTTTTGCTTCAGTGACTTTCATTTTCAAGCTTACAAACATTTTTAAAACTTATCAAATATTTTGTGGTGGCTTACACAACCAAAACTTTTTTCCCCCATTGATTAATTTCAGTGAACGAAGAGTTCATTTTTTTACTTCAGATTTGGAACAGAACTTCTTTAACACAATCTGCTGAGATGGGGAAAACATTCCCATCCAATTCTAGTCATTATTGGTTTCTCGTTAGTCAAAGACAGTCTCAGTTTCTCATCTGGCTAAATATGGACTGGCTAGGGTTTTTAACGACTTTCCCCTCCAAAGAAATCAGTTTTAGCTGTGGGATAATAACCCCTTTCTATGTGTTTACTTTTGCACGTAATACACTGATCTTCCACGTCTGTGCTTGTGATCTGGCATCAGAAAAGCTCCAGATGAGTGTATTGAGAGCTAAAACTGTACGGCAAGCTTAAGGCATTAATGCTAGACATCCTTGTTATGATTAGTCAACTTCATTCTCTCATTAATGTAACTTTTATTCAAGTTTGATTTTGTTATTTTAGCTAGTTCTGAATGTTTGACTGTTTCTTTTTGTATCCACATCCAGAAACTACCAGTATTTCAAGATTTCTTGCCAACACTTTTATTTCTAGTGGTGTATCTAAAAAGATATTTTACTGACTGCCATTTGCAGACATACATAGTTATTTTGATGCTTCTCTAGAGTTGCTTCATAATTTCTTCACAATTTTTATCAGCTATAGGTCTGTTCAGTAGTTCAAAATATACCTGTGAGACTTCACTGTAATACTGTGGAAATTTGTGTCTTTTAAACTTCCATGCAATTATAAGTAATTAAAGACTTCTTCTCAAGTATACAATTAAGGCTTCTTAAAAGCTTTCTATTTGTAAAATAGTTTCTTCAGAAAGTTTTGTTATCATAAACTTCAGCTAATAAGGTATAGAAAAAAATGTTCAGAAACCTGCTTTTCTGACATCCAGTAAATAAAGATACTTCTCAAACATGGAAGAATTGACAAAATACAAAGAAAGATTTTAGCAATTTTTTTATTTAAAAAAAATGAATGATACAGAAGTTCTTTTATTTTCTTTTTCTCTTTGTTTAGATTCATCAGATGGAAGTCTAAAAGCTTCTACACAGCATGGGACAATAGATGTTTATGTCAGTCAATTAAGAAAAGTGGACCTGAAATCCCAGAAAGGTTAGCAAACAAAAAAATACTTTCTGTGGCAGCTTATGAGGTTAAAGAAAGGAGAGTATGGGGTTTTTTTCTTTATCTGTCTGGAAAAATGAGTTTGTGATTGTTGGTTATATCTGCATTATTTTTTACCTCATGACTAGAAAATGTGTATAAATACTTATAATGCAGTAAAATCTGTAAGGGACAGTGATACTTAAAATGGATTGTAGGTGTTTGTTTAATTTTTCAATACTTTCTTTTTTCCTGGCAATCTGCCCAGCAGAATTTGGCAGAGCTGACTTCGATTACAATCTTCCTTTGCCTTGAGCAGTTTACTCCATGCTGCTGATAGATGTATTTGCAGAGTGACAACCATGACTCACTAGAATTTCACTTGTTAGTTAAAAGGTCACTCCTAAAGTTGGATTTATAGTTTTGCAATATCGTATGTTCTGAATGGCAAGTAACAAAGCCTTGAATACATCTTGTCAGTCCTAGTTTTGCAAAAAATCCCCAACACTACAGCATTTCTACTTGACTTTAACATCAAGTCAGACACTTCAGGTGGTTTAAATGAACATGGTATTTGGTACCCTTCTCTTGTTGTCTGAGAGTCTATGCCCTATTAAAACCTCGCAGTTACTCAGAACAGGAATAATGAAGGAAATGCATTGAAATCACTCGTGTGCCGTTCTTTGGTACAAGCTATTCCAGTTCCATTGATGCAAAGAAATTTATTTTTATATTATTTTGTAGTTACCTTTTGAATCACTTAATACCAATTTATGTCTCTTTGAATTACTATTAAAAAAGAATGTATTTAATAAAAGCAAATTAATGTTATTTTCAAAACATTGCCTGACATCTCTTCTGGCAGCACAGTTTAGTAGAGGCAAAGTTGATGAGGTTCTGTTTTCATTTACCCTGTAAATTCAGAGTAACTGCTGACAGCTGCAGCGTAGAAAATGTACCATTCGTGATAAATTAGCTGCATGTGTGTTGGATTTTATGAGTCACATTACTGAGCAACTCTCCAAGGAGGACCCAAAGATGAAGACCTTTTCCCTTTCTTATCCTAAGGCTTTTGTGTATCCAGCAAAATTTAGGCCTAAATTACACTGATAGCTACTTGTTCATCAGGACTATCACAGGCAAGTGATTCAGTTGAATTTAATTTGCAAAGCTAGGGTTGTTTTCTGACCGCTACTAAGTTGTTATAACACCAGTTTTCTTATTGTGTTCTCCTTCAGGTTTTGGGGTATATTTAAAGAAACTTTTTAATGTTTTTCTAAAGTGTATGTTGGAATTGGGCAAAAACTAAGGAGCATATATACAGAAAGTGTATTGTGAATTTTGGTAGGTTTTTATTTTAATGTGTAGGGTGCAGCTTCCAAACATCGTGGCTGAGTAATTCCAAATGTCACTAACGTGGGCAGGTTGGGGGCCCAGCATCTGCCTTCAGTCTGATGCACAGAAGCACACATTTAGGGAAAGCAGAAGTCAGAATTTCTGGTTTTATCACAAGAATAGAAGTATTCGGGCCACCAAAGCTGGAACTTTGCTAGCAGTTTACATTTTAGTGATACATAGTCTAAACTGATCAGTCACTTTGGGACTGCATCTGTTCCAGGATGTGGACAGCTGGCCCGGTGCAGTAAAGCAAAGCAAATCACTGGCGTTACTAGTGTGTAAGTGGCATCTCATTGTTCCAGAGGAGCCGTTCTGTCATAATGTGTCATGCAGTGGCTGGGTGAATCAGCAATCCGATCTGTCCTTGCTCAGGAGTGTAAATATAACTAGAAGATGAAACTGAAGTCATAATACTGTGAGATCTGTTAGATTTGCTTCCCTTGTTCATTCCTGTAATAAAATCCTCTACCAAGAGCCATTGCTAGCAGTATGTGTCAATATTAATTTTCACATCTGCCAAGGAAATACTGTGATAACACTTTCTACATGTGACACACAGCATTCTGGTTATGATAAATGAAGATCACTTCACTTATCCTGTCAGAGACAAAAAAAAAAAAGATTACTGTGTCTGAAGGCTCTTAAAAAAAACCCCAACTAACGATGGTTTCATTCCAGTTAGCTAAATAATTGCTTGTTTCATGCTTTGATCTCAACATTAAACTACCTACCTTTCATTTAAATTTATACCAGGTTCTATTACGGTCAAGGTACCTGCCTCTCTCAAAGCTTATTTACAGTTGTCCGGAAGAAAAGTGGATGTGAGCTCAGAGATCCAGTTAAAAGAAACACAGAGTGCCTCCAAAGACGATCACGTAACTATAAGTGGTAAGGCTTTGCTAATCTTGGCTTCCAATAAATGTCTGTCTGGCCTTAGTCAAAGGCATCTACATTTCGTTATGAGTTTATTGCTCTTGGCTGCTTCTTGTTTCATCTGCTTCAGGTTCAAATGTTTGCTTGTGCCATTGTGCTCCCATGTTACTAGATGACTTTTTGTTTGGTTAATGACTTGTGAATGCAAACAGCTGCTTCTCTAACAAAAATCTTAGAGTCAAATTCTTCCTCAGCATTATTCCAGTGAATTTGTGGGAGGTAATTCAGGGCTGAATTTGACCCATTGCTTTGTTGGCTTAGACATACAATAAATTGCCAGGGAATGTCTATTTAAAAAAATAATGAAAAGTCTTCTCTGTCTATCTCAGCTGGGAGGAAGAGGGAAGTAAAAGGCTTATATGGCATATTTATAAATATACAATATAAATGTTAAAAGGTGCTGGATAGGCTGAGAAATGATGTGTGGGAGATAGGAGAAGAGCAGAAGAAGCTAGAGCATGGAGGAATAGAGAATACATGGAAAGTTGTCTGCAAATACTGGAAGTATTTTTCCAGTGCTTTTAAAATTGAATTCGGGAATCCCAAGTCATGCTGCTTTAGAAAACAGTTGTACAATTCCTTGTCAGGGTGTGTATTTCTCTCCTCCTCTCCGGATGCATCTATCTAGAAGTTAAGGCTGTTGCTGTTACCAATTATTCAGTTTGCTCAAGAGGAAACATAAATGTACTGTGTCTGAAGGCTCCAGCTTTGGTTTTGAACGTGTTATGTCAATATGACCTGATATGATAGCAGATTGGGTGAGGCTTTGTGGTTTTCTTTGGTTTTAAACCTAAGAAAAGATAAACAAAAGTTCTTTTCCTCCCCCATGTAAGATGATAATCTCAAAGGAAATGTTAGACATGTATGTACATAATTTTAATATGTAGCCTGCTTGTATAAAATAGCAGTCTTGAAATGTATAGGTGTATCTCTTTCTGTCTTGAACAGTAACTAGCATTTAAATTTACTAGTGCTTATTAAATACATTTTCTTAAAAAAAACAACCATGGTTAGAAGTTCTCAGGCTAGAAACCTGTGGGAGAACCCCAGGCTTCAGCAAGGCTCTATGGCGTGAATCGCCTCAGCAGTAAAACACCACATCTCCCAGTGAAAGAGGACCACTGGCCACTCAGTCGTCTTGCTATTCTGGCAACACTAAAGATAAGAGTGGTGTTTCAAATATACACAGCTGAATGGCTTCTCCGGTTTCACAACCCAGGCAGTGTTTATGTAGGACAGTCATCGCTGAAGCAGATGCAATTTTTCAACGCACCATTCTGTATCAAAATTATCTTGGCAGTTGAGGACAAAAGCAACTCTGATTAATTAACCCTCAAATACACATATCCCAAAGGCATGGAAATCAGCAGAGGGAGCAGTGTTAGACCAATGATCATCAGTTGTTTAAAGAGGTAACAGGATTGCACAAAAAGTTTATTAAGCATAGATCTTAATTGATCGTAATACAGGTGAATGGGAAAATAGACCCTGGAATGGATTCTCTGCAGGATACAATTCAGCTAAACTGGCACTGCCCTGAAGTACTGTATCTCCCTCTGTCTTTATACCCAGCATTGAGCTTTGCCAAGTGTTTTCTCACGTAATGTAACCACTGATTTATAGCAGCTCTCTCCTCCCTTATCTTCACTGGTCAGCAAGAAGCAACAGACATGAAGAGAGATGAAGTAGTTGGTTCTAATGTGTGCTTTGCTCCTTTTCTTACCATTTTGAAAACAGTGCCTCCCCTTTGTCTGCCAAGTCAGTGACATTCCTTTGGTATGGCAAGGGTGATGCTTCCTGCTTCTTCTTTACCTTATCCCATAGGGACAGTGTATTCTTTACACAGGCCAAGCACTTGTCCTCTCATTCTCAACAGTCTTTTCTTAAGGTTGGTATTTTAGAATTTTCTTGTACCAGTAGATTCTGAAATAATTAAAAATAATTTAAATTTGTTTCTATATCATGAAAACATTATCCACTCTTGAAGTTTTAGGTACAGTGCCTATAGCTGTCCTTCTGGTGCAACTAAAGAAATATAAAGTGGAGAGAGAAGAGGGGTTTTGCCGAGAGGAAAATTCACAAGAACATGGCAGTTTAGATTTTTATGCTTCTGAGCTCAAAGGTTAGTTTAAAAATAGATGATTTTTCAGAAACTGGCCAGTTCTCATGTGGATAACACAGGAACCAGCTGCTTTCAGGAAGCTTTACTTGCCTCTGGGAATATTGAGAGATGCTAGAGAGGAGTTTTCTGCAGTGGGAAGACAGGGTTGAGTTCTGTGACTTGGGTAAATGTACCCCTAATCTGTCACCTGCTCTAGGAAAGCCTCCCCTGCTGCTGTTACAGCAGTTACGGTGTAACATGGTCACCTTGCTTCACAGCTCTCATTTCCACGCTGAGTGGGGAGGTCAGGACAGCACAGTCCCATGAGCTGTCACATCCAGGATTTCACAAGATAACCAAGGAACAGAGTGGGGATTAGTCAAAGCAAGATGAAAGCCTGGAGTGAGCGCTCGAGAGGCAATGATGAGACTGTGAAAAGGTGTTTTGCTCTTTTAGAAAAGAAGGAGACTTTCCTGCAAAACTGGGACACTTCCTGAGAAAAGGAAGGAACTAAAGAGCAGTGCCAGGGAGTTTACTCTTCAGAGTAATTTGCAAGGATAAGGCATCTGTTTCCATTGACATCAGTAGGCACTCTTAGAAGTGTGGTATGGTATGATGTATGGTATCATGAAATCCATTCTAAAAAATTACTTTTTTCATGCTAAGCATTGGCCCAGCTTCCACCTGTGAAAGTGATTGTTCGGCTATCTGGTTTGGAGTGCTTGAGCAACTCCAGTACTTTCTGATGGTGATCATGTCAAGGCATTCATTTCCTTTCCCTGGCAAAGAGGGTAGGAAGAGCGGATTCTGCTTAGCCCCTGATGCTCGATATCTGTGCCTTCCCTGCGCCTCCAGGTCTGCCTGTATTCTTAAATCAGCTAATTTAAGAGGCCTGTAGAGATCATTAACTATATCTGGAACTAATATATGGTAAGAGGAAGGGTAGCAGGCTACGGAGTGTCAATTATTCAAGCAGAAAAGAAGCTTAGGAGACTGTCATGCCAAAGTGGTTACAAACATGTTAAAGGGCAGGGTTAAAATTCAAGTAATTTTGATTTATATGCTTTTTAGGCCTTTTTTCCAGTAAGCCTTTTTAAGTTCAAAGTACAAAGGTAGGGATAATTACCTGTGTGGTCCCAAGAGGAGGAATATTTTAATAAAGACATCAGTAAAGAGGAAACAATAATGTTATGCAGTTGCGAACAATAAACAATGTATTAACATGACTGTTCTGTAGAACTCAAAATAATCCCTTGGCTTTATGTGGCATTAGTAATACTTTGCTGGAAGGTGTCCAGTTTTGAGTACTGTACTTCAAAAAGGATGTGCACAACTGTAAAGACTGTGAAGGAGAACGCATGATCAGAGGCCTGAAAGCATGATTTATGAGGAAAGACTGAAAAAAGTGCGTGTTTGTCTAAAGAAGAGAAGACTGGGGGGAGATAAGATGTGTTTTTCCAGTACATAAGAAATTGCTGCAGAGATTAAAGAAATTGTTCTCTGGTGATATGATTAGAAATTATGATTTGACCTTACAGTAAAAAAAACTTAGCTAAGTGGTAAGATAAACTTTCTGGTAGTAAGCACTTGGCTGGCGAGGCCATAGGACTGTCAGTACCACAGGTTATGAAGAGCAGGCTAGGAGAGCATATCTGGTTACATTCAGTGCATCCTCAAGAGGTTGCTTTCAGCCTTGTTTTCTCTTGTCCAAAGCTGATGTGACCATCTGCTCCCACCCACTCTGCAGTAACTCAGAGGAAGGTTATGAGGCGTGTGGGTGGATGGATTTGGGGACTAAATGAATGCAGCCAGTGGGCACGCTTCCGCCCACTTCCACTGCCAGCTTGTGTGTTGGCAACTGTGAGCTTGCTGGAAAAGTCTTGCAATTGTTCAGAGACTTTCTGTGGATCCTTGGAGCCAGTGGTGCCAATTTCCAAATCCAATTGTCTGCAATGTAACCCCTTTCTTTACACCATGTAAAGCTTGCATCTCTGGTGCCGGGGACTCATCTGATTCCAGATCTTTCCCCATCCCTGGCCCCAGTCCTAGTACCAAGTTCATATCCAGCAGCAACCTTTGACCTGATGCCATCTGCTTGGTGCCCAGTGAGCTTTTAGCTTTGGCAGTCACTTACTCCATGTGGTTTTCAGCACTTGCGTGAGTTTCCTTGGTAAAAGTCCCACAGTGTCACAGGTGCTCCTCGGAGGCCATGAATGTTTGTCTTTGTTGGTTACTGCATTTCCCTGTTCTTACTTTCTCAAGCTGGCAAACCAACCTCTTTGTATTTTTTTGTCCTTTTACAAAGAACATACTCTTTGGGAATCATTGGCTTCTTCCAGGTGGAGACATTCTTGCTCCCTATTTCACCCCACATGACAATAGTTATAGCAGTTAACAGGATTTTTAGCTTTTGGTACTAATCCCACCCCATCTACAGCACTAGAGCTTTGCTGAGCCACATCTGAACAGTGTTCCTCTCAGAGCTATGCCTTTTGGTGACCATGCACACAGGAAATAAGGCTCTTTCTTTCATGTTAACTTACGGCTTCCCTCAGATGTCTGTCCTGGGGATGGAGAGGAATCTCCTGTTGTCTTCTCAAACCCCTTTTCTCCTGTGGAAGTTTCCAGGTAGATGTTGCCTCTATGTTATGAGTTGATCCAGCATCCAAGTATTCGTCATTAGGAACAACTTAGATGGCCTTCTTCCTCATGTGCCTCTAGAGACAGTCAGCCTGTCTGATTGCCAGGTTCCCTTGAAAAGTTGGACATTGATACCACTGTCCTATCTCTGACTTTTTGGGTTTCTCTTAACTTCAGTTCTTTTCACTCTGTCTACTCTTCCAGGTTGACTCTGGGATTTAGATACATGTTTCCTACCTTCAGGAATAACTTATTTCTCACTGCTCACACAATGGCTCCTCATCCAGTAGTACTGGGAGAGTGGCCTATAAAGTGCTGTGGACTTACCCTGTAGGATTGCTTCAGAGCCAGTGTGCAAGGAGGGAGCTGACTGCATGAGTCTCGTACACTGTGTACAAGGCTTTACGGATGTGTTTAACTGCTTTTGTTGTCAGAAATTCTCTATTCCTTAAGGTATCTGTGTTTTTTAGCTGCCTGGAGTTCCAGGGTTAAACACAAACACAGCTGAAGGGGCAATGAATAACATGAAGCAAGCAACTTGCCTTTAAAAGGGAAATAACTGGAAG